TCTTTTTTTATGTGGTTCGTGTCTAGGCCTTGTCCTAGTTCAGATGCGTCGCCGGACTTGACCATGTCTCCATAGATTGATGGACGTTACCAACAGCTCCGTGTACGAGTTCAGTACTTGGCGGCTTTCAGAGCGCAAGTAGCGTGCATGTAAGCTGCTGACGGTACTGCCTGGCACTGGCCTGCGGCTCAGATGCTGCACTTGCTCCAATTATTGGAATTTGGAAATAAAAGTTGGCTCAACAAATCCTTCGGACCTATGTCTCCGGTTCGTGAATGCCGACTGCACAAATGATTACATTGTTAAGTTCTCTCCTGTGAGGCCCGATCAATTCAACAGGTGGCTTGTACATTTGATGTTGACCGTGGCAATTTTCTTCACTGAATTTGATATGTGTATTCTTGTCCTGGTAGGCTGCAGGCGCTGCAGCTTGTCGGTCTAATCCCAGATGCGAATGCGCCGACCGAGGTCGATGCCGTTGCCCTGGCCTTTCTTTTTGCCAACGATCACCTCACTTCCTTTTCAAATGGAACTCGTTAGTTTGCTCGTTTGGCTGCGGTCGTGATGGACAAATTGAAGGAGTTGGTCAGGACTGGTGTTGTTCCGTTCGAGTCAATGCCTCTTGGCACGTATCGCAGCATCAAGGAGAAGGCAGTCGAAAAGTTGGCTGCCATTGAAAGTAGTTTTCGAGTCAATCTTGTGGCCGCTTTGGCCGACATGGGTTTGCCTTCTTATGCCGATGCTTCACGTGCAGGTGAACCGGTTTTAAACAATCCTCAGCAGAGAGGTATTGACGGCCAGAGCAAGGAATCGTTCCGGGAGCAGGTGGATGCTCTGGATCATTTGAGGAACGCCCTCTATGGCTTCGCTATTTTGGTGGACACGTTTGTGCGCTTTCCTCTGCTCGTTGGTCCCCCTGGTGCATGTACGACACATATTCTCTTGACGGCATGCCTCTACGCCCTCTCTAAGGGTCTGAAGACAATGGTCATTGTTGTGACGCCGGAATGCGCACGCAAGCTGGGTAGCAAACACATCCATCTTCTTTTTGGGATTGAAGTCAACAAATGCGTGTAAGAAACCCCAATCACTGCCGATAAGTGTTTGTTGAAGTTGAGCCGTAATTTGATGAGAATGGCCATCTTGAAGCGTTGATATATTTTAATTTTCGAGGAAATTGGTCTATTGCCTTCCAATTTGTTTGTGGTACTGGTACTTGATATTGTTGATTTGTTATGCGCCGGACCCTTGAGAACCCTGTACCTTTCGGTGGCATCCTTACGATTGCTTCCGGTGATCCACGCCAATTACCTCCGGTCGAGGGTAGTGGCATTTGGCTGTGTACGCAGCTTGTATCAATCATCATTACGTTCGCAGTCAGCGAGATGTTGAATTGTAGCACACCATCTCTTTGATGCGAAAGAGTGCATTGAGCGGGGATGAGATTGCACATGTTCTGAATGTGATTCGCGTGCAGAGGTTTATGCCCCTCTTGGGACCATGTTCCTAATGACGTAATCCGGGTCGTGAGCAAGAGCGCGAGGCTGTCGAGCGTTACCTGGGGCCATACTTTCAAAAAAAGTTAAGAGATCGTAAGTTCATCAGCCAATCACTGACGTCCTTTCAAGCCAAATCCACCAATCATAGACAAGAAAATAGAGCGTAAGTACTTACGTTCACTTAGCGAGTTTTGAAAGTATGGCCCCTGTTCCAGAAGACCAACACTTCGAGTCTTCAGCTGGCAACTGAATCGTTGCTGATGGTCGCGTTTCGGCAAAGCTGAATCTTCATTTGCCCAAAGCCCGTGAGCTAACGTTGTTTGTTGGGGCAGAGATGCGAGTCACTTTCCACGACGTGCACGTTCGCAGAGATCTCTCTAGGTTCTCTCAAGGAGATAGAAGCAGAATATCCAGACTTACCCAGTCACACTTCCGTTCGTTGGCTTACCTGTGGCAAGGTGTTGTCACGATTGTTTGAACTCCGAGCAGAAATTTAAGTTTTCCTGAATGAAAAAAATCGACCCCAGCCGCTACTCACATTGGAAATTAGCTTTTTCTGTGGATCTGACCACACGCATGAATGAGTTCTATCTTAGATTGAAAGGCAAAACAGCGCTCATTTGCAATATGTATACCCAAGTGAAGGCGTTTCGACAGAAGCTATTTATGTTTGAGACCCAGTTGATGAGGAACTGTTTCACGCACTTTCCATGCTGTGAAAAGTTTGAGCGAGAAACTCAAACTTCATTCCCAAGAAGATTTGCACAAGGCATTATTTGCAATCTGAAACAGCAATTTTAAGAACGTTTTGCATCTACAGCAATTAAAAATTTTCTAAAATCCATTTTATTGTTCCATCGAAGATTTGCCGTCTGAACTTCAATAGGAAGTAATTGATTCAGAGAAGGTGAACTGATCGACTTTTTGCAAGTGTCTGCCAAGCGATGAATATGCTCATCTACGAGCCTTTGCGTGTGGTTTTATTTCCGTTTTTGGCACAACCTACTTATGTGAGCAAACATTTTCTAACATGAAGTATGTCAAGTCTAGCTACAGAGCAGCCTTATCCGATGGACATTAAAATTAATTTTGATGATAGGAAGCAGTAATTTTAATCCAGAGCTCAATGCTATTTTGCATGAAAAGAAACAATTTCATTCCTCTCATTACTGCTGCTTCAAGCTGAATATCTCTTAAGATTACACTCCAATAATTATAGCCATAATTATTATGTCCCCTCTGTAAATAAGAGCCGAGCATATCATGCCAATAATTGACGAAAGATTGTGTACAGTTTTTCCGTAAAACGAAGTGCAGAATAAAATATTTATTCGTGCGATAATTTTGACTACCGCACTTTATTCGTAATTTGTGCAATTCCCTGCCCCCCCCCCCTTCTCCGCCCTCCGCCCACAAACTTCTCCGGCCCGCGAAGGTTTCAGTAAGCTTGCTCTTGGCCCTTGGTGAAAAAAGTTTGGAGACCCCTTGCCTACACAATGCACGAAGGTATTTGCCACAGTAATTTATCCAACGTAGAAAGGTGTTATTGGATTGCGGGTCATTCGAGATCAATACGAAACCACGACTTCGTTTTGTGTGCTTGCCTTTTAAGAATTAGTTATGTTAAGAAAATTTTGCGTGAATTAGGCAGGCACCAATAAAGCTGACAGAGAAGCAAGGTGTTCATGAAATTATTGAGCCAAAGTGGAGCCACTGGGCATGTATCAGACTGTTCCTGATATAAATTGTCCGAGGAACAAAGCACAGCGGCTCGGCATCATGGGCAGAGAGCGAGTCCACAGTAAGCACACGTTCATACCGGTTGGCTTGACGCGCGTCAACGTTGAGCTTCCTGCTAATCTTTACCTAGTCCTGCTTGAAACGTGCTTTCCGGGTAATTTGCTTGTCACAAAAGTATCCTTTTTACGCAGAGGATACGAGTAAAAATTCGGTTATCCATCCTGACTTCGATTGTGAAATTTAATATACAGTCCGATAATTCTTTAGATTTTAAGTCTAAATGTCTAAGAAAGTGGCCCCGGTATCATACCCAAAAGACTAAAGATTAGGATAAAGAAAAATGGTGACTAGAAGTGGTGCAGGTATTTTACGTCTGATATTTCAAATAATCATTTAATATCAATTCCTTACTTCACGTCAGAATATTTTTGGTGAAAATATATCGAATCAATCCGCTGTCAAAATTGGTGTAATGTTGACATTATGAACTTCGATACTTATTAAGCATTTTCCAGTAGCCTTTACTCTGAGCTGAACCATCGTTCGTTACGAATAAATGAAGTTTCTTTCAGCGGGTGTTTACTCGGGTGTTACTCTTTCAGCGGGTGTAGTAGCATGTTCAAATAAACTTGGCGATGAAACCATCTAATCATCACGGTGGTAGCATTAACTTTGCTCATTTGATGAAATTAATATTTGCAATACTTCAGTTAAACCTTTTAAAATTACTCGACTGCCATGTCCTCTCCGATGGCTCAACGGTAGAGGCTCTGCTTCGCGTGGGGGAGACCGGAGTTCGAATCCTGCAGGCAGGGAGTTTCTTCAAGTCGATTTCTCACGAGGTATGTGTATGGTACTCTGAAAATTTGTTCCTGCTACATGTCTGAAATTGTTACTTGTACTGCCATGGTAGATTAGCATACGGAGCCCTTAGGATGGTGATTGAATGAAGCAATATCAGTAAATGCAGAAGCATCGGATTTGAAATTAAAGGAAAA